ATGTACTTTGTTTATTTGTATTGCAATCATTTTGTACAATTTTGATTGCTGTTATTAAACTTTTCTGTTCATCTTCTAGTTGTTTAACTTTCGTGTGTAAGTCCGATACAATACACTTATAGTTATTGACTTGGTCCGATAGTATGTCGATTTCTTGCTTCAGTTTGCCATTTTTTTTAATTAAGGAATTTCGGTCTTCACTGATAGTTTCTTCTGTTGTTTTGGACTGTCGAATTTCCTGCAAAAGCTCATCGAATTTGTTTACAAAACACAGTTCAAGGTCTCGTATACTGTCGAGTACTTTGTTGTAGTTCGATGTCTCATGTGAATTTATTTCGATATGACTGTTTTCGGTCGAGGCTGTATTTACGCCGTCTCCCTCCCTGTCGCCATTTCCTTCACTGACAAAAGCGGTTTCTTTATCAGCTAGGTTGGCCATTATTCGCAACCGAGAGTTTATTTCTTCGACTTCGTCTTGCTCCCCTTTAATAATTAAAGAGTAATTGTTTGAATACCACCGCATTTCGAAGTTGTCCATCTCTAGCAGCTTACAATGACCACCAGGCGATGACCATTTTGTCTGTGTCTCGAGCAACTCGTTCATCAGTATTTCGAGATTCTCGAAAGAACCTGTCAATCTGAGTTTTCCTTTTTCAGTAATATTAAGATACTTAACGACATTGATGTTATTCGCTCGCTTAGATTCTACATTTTTTGTTGTATTCTCTTCAACATCGCTTAATTCGGCGTCAGAGCTCACAAATAAGCGTCCGTCCGCCATGCGTGTTTTACGTTGTTTCAAGTTTCGGACATGTGTAGTTAGAATTTTTGTCCAAAATTTCCTATTTAAGACGCGACTTAAATAAGAACAGCTAAAAGTCCTGTTCTTATGTAAGACGCGTCTTATCCAAGACGCGTCTTACATAAGAATTTTGTACCTTTTATACGACAAACTCGCGTCTTATTTAAGTCGCGTCTTATGTAAGTCGCGTCTTATTTTGTCCCGTATAAATGGCCCTAATGATTGAGTGCAACGTGTAGACCAAGCCAAAATGGGGTCCGGCTAAACGGAGAGTTATGAAGTGGAGAGTTATCTCGGAGAGTTATGGTCGAACCACACCCAAACCACGCCCACTTTTCCCAACGACCACACCCAATTTCTTAACTCTCCCGATGTTTCCTTGAACTAACATGAGAGAGTTATGTTTGACGTAACTCTCTCTCGTTAACATTATGAAGATGTTAGAGTGTTATCATTTTTAAAACTCACCGCGTTCACGATTGTGGCAATGCCAATGAAGAGAGTTATGTCCGTCAATTTTTTGAAAAAAACTTCCACATTTTAGTAAATTATTGTTGAATTTACTTTTTTCTCAAGTTTCAGCTTTAACATTTCACGCTAGTAGAAACTTGTAGTAATTTAGTACTTACCAAGTGAAACGAGTACGAGTAAATAAATTATTACATGCTCACTTGGATTATCTATAAAGCCCAGCATTCAGATACAGCTCTCGTATTAGATGGAACCAGAAAACCTTTCCAATGTAATGCCCTATTGGCTGATCTGGGAAAGTATTTCCAAAACCTGAATTGCTGAAAGATTCAATTTTCTTAACTTTTTCAATTTTCTTGCAACTATGCTTACCGTATTTACTGCCAAATACACGTCAAAGCATGCTTCTGGGGGTAGCATCTCATTGTTTTGACCGAGTCAAGTTGTACTATTTCCTGTTTGGACGCACGCTATTGACACGCTACAAACTGAAATACCAAAATAGAAAATGAAAATCTGAAGAAACAAGCTTTACTAAGGTTTTCTCAAAAGACTGGCATAACTCTCTTCATTGTCACAATCGTGAAAGCGGAGAGTTATAAAAAATGATAACTCTCTAACATCTTCATAATGTTAACGAGAGAGTTACGTCGAACATAACTCTCTCATGTTAGTTCAAGGAAACGTCGGGAGAGTTAAGAAATTGGGTGTGGTCATTGGGGAAAGTGGGTGTGGTTTGGGCGTGGTTCGAACTTAACTCTCCGAAATCATAACTCTCCGAGATAACTCTCCGGTTGGTAACTCTCCCTTTAGTCATACCCAGCCAAAATAGTATATATACAGAAGAAAAGTATATACTAGACGTCAATTGTAACATTATTATGATGATTTTATATACATCATGACAACACGATATGTAGCCTACTAGAAAGGGGCATATATAGGCATAGCTGCTGGCTGACCACTGCTGTTATATATACGCGACAGTGCATGCGTATTACTGCGTAACCAGTTTCATTCTGTCTCGGATCCGTTTTGGAAAAGTTAGGGATAACTTTTGGGTTTGAGTCACCCTGATATGTTTGGTTAAGGTTAACATGGCTAGTAACTACAGAGCTAAGGAGCCATGGAGCGACATTACATATTCAATAGAATTCCATATAATCCATAGGGGCTAGCTCCACTTTCAAATGTGAAAATATGCGACTTAAAAACGTTAAATTAAGAATTCTATAAGAGTTACAGGACGGTTAACTCCGTAATAGCATAGTTGCCCGGGTTTCTTTTGTTTCAACAGGGTCGACTACTAACTAATCGCCCGCTGTAGCGGGCGATTAGTTCTAACGCGGGCGATTAGAACTAATCGCCCGTTACCAAGGGTCACACCTTTGTCTCCCTGACGACTACGCATTAGGCAAGTGCCTCACGCACATAATCGTGCAAGGAACAGCAACAGTTAGCTCAGAGCCGTCAATAGTCTATCATCCGATCCCTGAGTTGCCGCATCATTTAAATTACGCACGTGCAGTCTCCAATTTTATAATAATATATTTAGCGTTTTGTTGTGGTACGTTAAATGATAGATTGCGCATGCGTAACCGATTAAAGCGTAAAAAGTGCGCATGTGCAACAAGCTTTTACATCCCACAAGCAATGAAGCAAATGTTTTAGCTTAAATACGCTGATTCCAAGTAGGGCATGTTTGTCCATTTTTAAATGGGAGCTCAACTATGCTATTACAAACTAATAGCATGGCTTTTCGGGAGATTAGTGATTAAATGACCCCTTACCCTCGGCAGGTTTGCGGAATTCCCTCGGGCTTCGCCCTCGGGAATTCCGCAAACCTGCCTCGGATTACGGGGCCATTTAATCACTAATCTCCCTCAAGCCATGCTATTACTTATAATAATCACGAGGAGGGAATACTATAGAACCAAATTCTGTACTATAAAACCAAATTCAAAACCTATTGGGGCAAGATCTGCCGAACTCATACACCAGCTGGAATTTGATTTCAGAATCTATCCCCCCGCCACACACACTACTTTGGGTCCCTTGGTGATCCGTAGACCCTCGTTCCTACCTCCAGAGATTAGCTACCTCCTCCAAGTGTGGAGGGAAGAGGGTCAAACGACCTTGGGTCTGCACAGGGTGCAGGGCCCCTATCAAATATAGCACTGCAATAGGGATCCTAGATGCATGAAAGGGGAAATTTGGATTTATCTTTGCAAAATCCCTTAGAGAGGCTTGCTTTCATTCTGAAATTAAGAATTTTCTTAATTCCAATTCATTAAGTCCAGTCCCAATTTTTGGTAAAATTTTGAGAAGAGTGTACCCCCTTAAAAAATAGACTTACTTTAGCTACTTGAACATGCACATTGAGATCTGAAATTGTCTCCCACATTTTCTTGGTGAAATATTTTGCAATATATAATTTCAAAATAAGTTTCCTAATCCTCTACACGCATGTGCAGCGGATTATGAAGAATGGGAGTTAGAAGACAGATTATTGCTCTCATTAACGAAGGTTAGTCACAGCGACAAGTTGTTGCAAAGATAGGAGTGTCGAACGGTGCTGTGCAACGAACTGTGGAAAGGTTTAGAAAAACGCAATCCAATTCCAGCCGTAAACTTCAAACTTCCAAACGTTCTGTAGGCTGGAATTGGATTGCGTTTTTCTGAACCTTTCCACAGTTCGTTGCACAGCACCTTTTGGCACTCCTATCTTTGCAGCAACTTGTCGCTGTGACTAACGGTTACTAACCTTCGTTAATGAGGGCAATAATTTGTCTTCTAACTCGCATTCTTCATAATCCGCTGCACATGCGTGTAGAGGATTAGGAAAATTATTTTGAAATTATATATTGCAAAATATTTCACCAAGAAAATGTGGGAGACAATTTCAGATCTCAATGTGCATATTCAAGTAGCTAAGCAAGTATATTTTTTAGAAGATAAAATCTTCTCAAAATTTTGCCAAAAATTGGGACTGGACTAATTTTTTTGGCACCTATACTGTATTTTCGGACAACGTTTGCAGTGTGCCATAGTCAAAATATATACACGTGCATGCGCGTTGGGTAAACAAAACAAGAATCATAGTCAAATATCTTTACGTTTATTTTAAAGATTTTGAAAATAAGCAAGCAAGAAAACACCGTTCAAAAGTACAGTATATACATTATCATAAAACATGCCAGC